TAAAATCAATGTCTTTTGATGCATAACTCAATATCAGTATTGTATGAAAATCCATATTTAAAACATATATTTCATGAAATACCACTTGAATATATATATTTTTTTTTCACTTTTGAAACATGAATTTTATGAAATTCTAGATTTTCCCCCAAAACTAAGGAAAAAACTTCAGAGTCGGGTGCAAAAAATAGGGTCAGGTAGCAGGAAACAAGACCTTTTTTTTGGCCTTTAAACACAAGGGTAAAGGATTAATTTTTTTTCTCTTTATAAAACTATTTAACAGAAAACTTTTCATGAGTTTTCAGAACAAAAATTTCATTGTAGGATACTAAATACCGGTAGCTACCTGGTGAAGACACAAGATAGAAAAGGACAAACAAACATGTATGTGTACATTACATACATTAAGCCATAAGTATACCTGCAGATATATTGCAAGTATGAAAAAATGCAGATGTCTTGAGTTTGATTTTCAGTCCTAGCAAAATTTTTTTCCTTATGCATTTGTAAATTTTCAAAGTATGTTTATTCATTTTTCATTGACAATTCCGAAGTACACAAACATGTATATATGCCTGTATCATATACCTAGTAGTGTATCAGTCCAGCCCTGATCGTGATTCAGACGTTTCGGACTCGGTGAGACAGATCGAACCTGGTAAGTAGGGCTGTCTCGCCCTCCTGGCTGAGATATGTCTGTCTCGGCCCATTGTCAAGGAGCTGTCTCGCCCTTTAATTTCAAATCATTATTTCTGTTTAATTTGTGTGAATCAAGAATGAAATTAAATTAAAGTGTTATCCTTCCTGGCTGAGGATCCAAGTATCTTTACAGATTTTTAATAAGTTTTGTAGAATTAAAAAATTGGTTCAGACATAAAACACTTTTAGATTACAGGATAAACCACTTTGTTTGAACTGTTTTCATTGTTTTATTAAGTAAAATTTAAAAATATTTTAAAAGATAAATGAATTGTTTGTCCTATATTTAAGGATATCAGATCAAATTCAGAAGAATAAATGTTTATAAAAGTCAAGTGTCCACTGATGCTGGAGAGTCCATGTTGTAAAAAAGACATGAAACAGAAATGAGAAAATGTCAACATCAGTCATCTATGAATGAAGATGGAGATCAAGTCTAGATATTCTAAAATTTCTGAGGAAAATGGTGTTGTCTGGCTCATCCAATGATCACTCCATTTGCAGACTACCAGGTAATGATAAATCTTTGGTTTTGTCAATACTTTGTGCCTGAAAAAAATAATGATAAAACATTTTAATTTGTCATAAAGATTCAGTGCATAAAAAATATACTTTTAAATTTGTGCAAAGTGAAATTTAAAGATACATGCTCATCATATTACATGTAACATGAATTGTTTATTTATTAAAAATACATATACTTGGTCAATTCTCATTTTCAGGTTCCAATCTGAAGTATACATAGGAAGAGCAAGATCTTTTTCATTCATATAAACACTTCTTAGCTGTGATCCAGAAGAATGTCCTGATTGTTTTGTCCAACATAAGATGAATTTCAATCCAACACATTATTCTGAAAAATTGAGTGGTCTTCTTCATGCAGGCATGTCTTTGTTACAATATCTCGACTTTGCATGGTCATCATAACTTCAGACTCTTGTAAATTATGTAACCTATAAAAACATCATATTGTTACAGTAAGTAATAAAGTAAAATTAAATATTCTATGCTTCAATTATTACTACATTTTTTTGATCAATGTTTGTTTATTCTTTTAAATGGTGAGGTTTTGCAGTATTAAAGTATTGAAGTTAATATTTTCTCAAATTTTCTGTAAAATATCACAATTTCTATATTGCAATAGCATTTCGCACGAAAATGTTATAAAAGGCCCATGAGCCACATCCCTTAGCTGAATATCTTTGACCATGCAGTTCTTTACCAAATTTCCCTCTTGTTATACCTTTTGTGACCCCACCCTACCCCCGGGGTCATAATTTGGACAATTTAAAATCTACACTACCCCACAGTGATTTCGCATAAGGCCAAATAAAATCAAAGTACTGAAAGTACTGAAAGCCGGGCTTAAGAACAGCACACAGGTGAAAAGAACAGGTATCAGTTAAAGTATGAATGATATAAGGAATTATTAGATGGAGCGCATGAAAAAGCATCATTAAATTTTATATAAGAACAATAGGTTTAACTTTGATGAAGTATAAGGGTGATTTTATCTTTTTATTTTTGAGCTTTATATACTTGTTCTTTATTGTTATTGGGCATTTTTTTCTTGCCTTATGTCATGGCGTCAGGCACTACTAAGGATCAATATTTCCTACGTCCGAAGCTAAGAGGTCACAGTTAGCCGATTATCATCGAATTTTGTTACCTGCGTTTCAACAACAACAGTTAGCAGAAAAATGATCATATTACTGATACACTAGGGATGTATTTAAAAACATGCATACAATCGCAATATGTCGTCCCCAACTTCGTTCGGGACGACATAATGACTAGAAAGTCTGATATTGCAAGCAATAGCGTGTGTTGTCCCGATCTTGTTTTAGCGTATGTTGTCCCGATCATGTTGTAATATAGATGCTGATGTACACAAGTCTACATCCTGACATGTTTCTTGCCATTGATGAAATGATGCAGAGGTTCCAGATAAAGTATATTGATGGATGGACACTATCTTTCATTTCATTGACTGACCAATTGTTGATGACTTTAATGAAACTGACAATGAACACCCCATTTTTCGACCTTGCTGAGAGCATAGGCACTTGGGGTATGGACCCCCCCCCCACTTTTCCATTTTTTCTTTTTAAATCTGGGTTCGAGTCACCTTTTTTTCTATTTTTCTGTTCTAATATGCACTATATGTTTTTCAAAAATGGAACTCTTTTGTCTCTACAAGCTGGTTTTAAATATGTCGTTTTCGACTGATACATATAAAGAGAGAAGGCTTGCAACTCTTTTATTTTGATGTGCACTGACTGGGACGGAAGTAGAAAAGAACGATAACTCTAACTTTACAACTGTTCTGCATCCACAAAAAAAATCCAGGCGTTGTAATAACAATATTGTGAAATTTGGATGTTTATGTAGTATGTTAAAAGTTAATCGACATTTATCAGAATCTACAAGTTACAGTTATCTTGTTACATGGCGAACTTACCGTTACATGTAATATGAAGAGAAAATTCGGAATTTATTCCCCGAATTTAGTGTTCCGAATGACATTACACTTAATGATGACGCCCAAAAATACCGGATACTTCCGTCCAAGTCAGTGCACATCAAAAAATTTTACCCTAGATGCGAGTGATTTCATCGAAATATTTACAAATAGGGGGCACATAAAAATTAAATGGAAATATGAAAAGGAAGAGGAATGTATAACAAATTTATTAATGTAGGCATATCCCATGTTTTATTCAGGTTTAGATAAATAATCGAGCGAAGTTTAAGCTAGGTGAGGCGGATGACGAAAAAAGAGTTGCAAGCCTTCTCTCTTTATATGTATCAGTCAAAAACGACATATTTAACCAGAAGTCTCTGTCGAGACTGTAGCTCTACTGGTTTGTACTTATCAAAAACCATTGCACTATTTTATGTATCTTTGTGTAATTTACTTGTGTGCCAACTTATTTTGAAATCAAACTAAAACTGTAGAAGGAGTAGCGTTTTAAAGGAATTTCACAGAAAATTCTATTTTTAGGAACCATGGCAACACCCTTCATCAAAATCAAAAACCGATGCACTATTCTATGTATCCTAGTGTAGTCTACCTGTGTGCCAAGTTATATTGAAATCAGACCAAAACTTTAGAAGGAGTAGCGTATTAAAGGAATTTCACAGAAAATTCTATTTTTAGTAACCATGGCAACACCCTTCATCGAAATCAAAAACTGATGCACTATTCTATGTATCTTAGTGTAGTCTACTTGTGTGCCAAGTCATATTGAAATCAGACCAAAACTGTAGAAGGAGTAGTGTTTTAAATGAATTTCACAGAGAATTCTATTTTTAGTAACCGTGGCAACACCGTTCACCGAAATCAAAAACTGATGCACTATTCTATGTATCTTAGTGTAGTCTACTTGTGTGCCAAGTCATATTGAAATCAGACCAAAACTGTAGGAGGAGTAGCGTTTTGAAGAAATTTCACAGAAAATTCTATTTTAAGTAACCATGGCAACACCGTTCATTGAAATTAAAAACCGATGCACTATTCTATGTATCTTTGTGTAGTCTACTTGTCTGCAAAGTCATATTGAAATCAGACCAAAACTGTAGGAGTAGCGTTTTAAAGGAATTTCACAGAAAATTCTATTTTTAGTAACCATGGCAACACCCTTCATCGAAATTAAAAACCGATGCACTATTCTATGTATCTTAGTGTAGTCTACTTGTGTGCCAAGTTATATTGAAATCAGACCAAAACTGTAGAAGGAGTAGCGTTTTTAAGGAATTTCACAGAAAATTCTATTTTTGGTAACAATGGCAACACCATTCATTAAAATTAAAAACCGATGCATTATTCTAAATATCCTAGTGTAGTCTACTGTGTGCAAAGTTATATTGAAATCAGACCAAAACTGTTGAAGGAATAGAATTTTAAAGGAATTTCACAGAAAATTCTATTATTAGTAATAGCGGCAACACTGTGCATCTAAATCAAAAACCGATGCACTATTTTATGTATCTTAGTTTAGTCTACTTGTGTGCCAAGTAATATTGAAATCAAACTAAAATTGTAGGAGGAGTAGCGTTTTGAAAAATTGTTTACAGACAGACGGACAGACAGACAGACGGACGGACGCCGGACGCATTACTATCGCATAAGCTCTTCTGGTCTCTGACCAGTAGAGCTAAAAACAGCTTGTAGAGACAAAAGAGTTACATTTTTGATAACATATAGTGCATATTAGAACAGAAAAATAGAAAAAAGGTGACTCGAACCCAAATTTAGAAAGAAAAAAAAATGGAAAGGGGGGTCCATACCCCAAGTGCCTATGGCTGAGAGGTTTAACACGAGTCCGTCATCTGTCAATAACATTGTAACTTCGCAGATTTGTGCTTTGCATGAAATATTATATGAAGGACTCGTAGAGAGTCGCATTCCTGCTCTCCAGAAGTGCAAGGGGTCTATGCCTACAAGTTTTGGGGATTTTAGTTCATGTAGAATAGTTAATGCAACAGAAATCACCCAGGATGTTCCAGGGAATGATATGAGATTGCAGGCAAGCACATACAGCGGATACAAAAATTCTCACACTGTTAAAAGTGTTACAGGTGTTGCACCTAATGGTGCTTTGGTATTTATTAGTAAATTGTACCCTGGCAGCACATCTGATGTTGCAATTGCAGAACATTGTCAAGTCTTAGAACAGTTATCTCCAGGTGATATGATCTTAGCAGACAAAGGGTTCACTATTCACAAGTTGTTGCCCCAAGGAGTACATCTAAATATTCCTCCCTTTCTTACATCTAAATCCCAATACACCCCCAGTGAGGTCCAACTATGTCGAAGAATTGCTAAGTCACGCATACATGTTGAAAGAGCAAATGAGCGTATTAAGAATTATGAAATTTTAAGGCATGTTCCGCAGCAATTTAGATAATATTTCTACAAAAGTCTTATGCTGTGTTTTAGTCAATTTTCAGGATCCCCTTATGCAGGAAATTGCTCAGAATTTTGCAAGTGTAGATAACTAAGATATTAAAATTAAAATGTTTTCACCATGTTTAATGTTATATCTTATAGCTGTTGTTAATACAGGAGAAATTTACAGAAATAAAAGTCTGTCAAAACAGATATGTTGATCTCCCAATTGATGTCTTTGTTAATTCTCACAATCGCACAGTCTTTTGGTGTCCAGACCATAAAATCACACAAGGATTTCCCAGTTATATGAAGCTGTCCTTGCACTTGATCATAGTATTGGTGGTTCTCTCGTAGCTTGAAGGACTTGACTCCATTAAAATCCTGAACCTCTATATGAAAAAAATATATATGTTGAAGATTTTTAAAGAATAAGAATTTTCATTGGTGCCTCAATCATTAATATAAGACAAAACTATTTAACTAATAAATATTTACATGTGTAAGTATTTTGTTCCTTACTGTACAATAAAGTGAGAAGGCAAATCATCTGCCTTGAGGACTAACATTACAACAGAAGGAAAAAAAAATTTTAACAATTGCTAAATTGTACTTAAATTTATCCAAACTAATATATTGGAATTATTTAAAGTAATATCTCAGTACATAAAACATATTCAAACAAATACATATACACTATTATTACCTAGGCAGAAATCATGTACTTTTTCAATATCTTCTGGAATTGTCATATTCTTTGCTGAAAAGGGGCATTTCACCTCCAGTATTTCTGGCTTAACGTTTGACATCTCTAATATGTCAGCGAGTCCTGGATTCTGATAGCTGAATCCAAATGCAGCAGGACGACGAATGAGTCCATCGGGGCTTGACCCAAGAACCCCATTACAGTGTAGCCAGATACCTAATATGAACAGTATTATAAAGTTACAAAATAGCATTAATATGCAACACTCTGATTTTCTTATGCATTGATGACTTGTTATAAATAGAACATAAAAACAGTATATTTATATTCATTATCTTCAACTTCAGTTTAATAACTGAATTTTAAATAAATTAGCTCAAGAAAATTTTTTATTTATCATCAATTTTTATTTGCTTTAAAGAAATTGAAATTTGCTTAGGAAAGAAATATGCCAACCTGTTGGCTCTACAACTGCATCCCCAAAAGTTCTATACTTTTCAATTGCGACTTTTTCATTGCACATCCCCCAAATAATGGCATCCTTCTTTGACAGATCATAAGCTGAGCATAATCTTTTGTGTAAGGAGACAGGATATCTGTTATATAAGGAGCAAACTTTCAATATTTTTGATTTTATAATTAACTGCTTTTACAGGTATCATTTATAATTACATATACATATAAAGGCATGTAAACTACCAGTATACCTATTTCTCTTGATCGCTGCCAAAACACAACCAAAGTTTGAAGCTGTTAATCTATTCTTCCTAACAGATGACCACATGCAATTTTCCTTTTGACCAGTGGTAAGACAGGCAATCTAAAACATGACAAAAATTTTAAAACTTAAACAACATTCATAATAAAACAGAATACATTCTATTCATTATGCAACTCATTTGTCTTTACCTGTTGGATTTCTTGCTCATTTATCATTAATTTTTGCTTCATCCAAGCGATTGGATTCTCTGCAGAAATAAATTCCTGGCTAGAGATGAGGTCTTCAACTACATGCACTGCAAGTGGGGGCACAGGCAGCTCGGGGGATAGTATCCAATGCATTGCTGTTGATTTAATTTTAAAAAAAAATTAAACCCTCGGTGAAAAAGACAACAAATACTCAATAAACCTGTATTGCAGTTACATCACCAATTCTTAATACTGGTATATATGTTAAATATTTTTTCAAACTTATTTTATTCACTACTTCAAATAAATTTTGGATTTCAATATGTATACATGTGAAAAGAATGTGCAAATAACTTCCTTTAAGTATATGAGAAATAGGGTGAATAATATTTAAACATTTTACTAAAGGTTGCAGTTGAGTTGAAGTTTTATGTTACGTCACGATCTTCTAGTTTGACAGATGCGTTCAAGGTAAATAGTATACGCCTCCTAACCGCAAGCTTTACGACTGGAACTTTCTTCTAATCCCTGATTGTTTGCTTGTACAACAAACTATTTCTGTGTCAAGGTTGATAATATGAGTTAATCCATCACATGAATTGTTTACGCTGAATGTATCTGTCAAAAAAGATTGTGACGTGATGCAAAACTTCACACTGAATTGAAATTGATAGTATAAATGTATAATTAAAAGTTTAAAACAAAGTCAACACAAAAACAAAAGAGACAAGAACAAAACTATACATGTAAAAGACAAAAAAAAGCAAAAAGAATGGAAAGACTGCACATCTTGTCAGAATTTCAGTCCAATGTCAAATAAGCCATTAAATATCTGAAGTCCAAAGACCGGGTGTAATGAGTTAGTTAGGTGTTTTGTGAATTTATATATATATATATACATGTGTGTATATGCATTCTATCCTATCACAGTATAAATTTTCAAAAAAGTAACAATAAAATAAACTCGTAAACAATGTGACACTAAAATAAAACACCAGATATATTAACCTGAAAATCTCCCTACAGTTGTCAATTTCTGATATAGGAACTCCCTGTCCCTATCATTGACTGGCCTATTTGTTGCCCTAGTAATTTTTGACAAAAGTTGAAAAATGGAGCATAATACAACACTGAATGGTTTTACATATACCATGCTAGCTGCAGATCTGTAGCTTGCTGGTCTGAAAAAATTAGGATGGACGACCAGAGAGATACATTTCCATCCATTGAAAAAAGTGTATATTGCCCATAAAAAATGTGCTATTTCTCTATTTTTTATATTTTCACTTTTGGGGTACTGTCATTTTTTAATATTTTGCACCATTCATGAAACAGTCATAATAAATGCATACCTGTAATTTATAAACCTGTCAGGTGCAGGAAAAAGTTCTTCCATCGTCTTAGTTTGACGAGGTGGCGCACTCTTTGGATGCTTAATCCAACTCTGGCGTACATCAGTTTTGCTGACATTTTTGTACCTGTATCAACATGTTCCATAAATTTATTAAGTTATATTATAGTCTTGGGGCCTAAAGTTAGATTTTATAGTTACAAGTATGCTTATATATGCCAAGGTAGTGAACTTGGAGGTTCCAGGGCACGAATAGTACCCTGCTACCTACAGTCACATGGTGCACTGCACACTTGTATATACCGGGTATATATATTGGTGTGCACGTTTTGATATAATTTCTATTTAACATTAAATTTGGTAAAGCATACCAGACCAAGTGAATTTACATATTACATAAATTGCACATAAATTACCCATAGAGAAGAATGCTGGCTTTATGGTGACATTTGTCCATCCCATTTACACATTCACAGGTACTCTGTTCAACTGTGTAGTTAGAACCAAGAGTAATCTAATAGAATTAAAAAAAAAAAATAACCACCTAGAATTTTACTTATATTACTATCAATTTTAAAAGTAAAAAGCATGTTTACATGGAAACTTGAAAATTGTGGAGAGAGAAAAAAAAAAGAATTGTATATTAATTTATTATTATGTATTAAAACATTGCATAGACGCTTTCAGTCAAGGAAATTCGGAAAGAGGTTTGTTCTGGATTTATTGCATAGGCAGGATAAAACATATATACTTCCAAACGTGTTGTACATTATGCATTATTTCGTGATTTACACAAAAGACTTTAAAAAAAACTTTTCTTTCTTCCAAAAATCTCAAAGAAATGGGATGAACTTACAGTAACCTGGTAGCTCCGGTCTCGCATGGAGGCTTGGACAATTCCCCTTATGAACTGCGCATCTTTGTCATACACAAACTTTAAAACGTGGTCAGATTGTACGGCAGTCTCCGATTTCGGCATAAGTTTCGTTGTACCAGCTGTATAATTTGACCAATATAGAATGGAGAACGCCTTACCGCAATCGCAGTTCCTTCCATGAACCATCTGCATCATTCGGGACTCCTCGGCTGATTCGGTTTGCCGAATGAGTGGAAAATTTAGCCTGGTACCCTGTCTCATCCTTGCCGAGGCAGTGACGCAGAGTAAACGAAGCAAAACAGGGACAGGGAACCAGGCTATGCGTAGGAATTTGTTCAAAGTTCTCTACTAAGAACAAATGTATTTTTGGTAACTGCACAATAATAATTACAGTACAGTTTATATTCACATTTAATTAATCAGATTATGAGTATAAATTGTTTCAACAGCGATTACAAGTAGATACACTATATTTCAGAACGTCAGTTTAATTTGGCGACTATTGGGTCAACATCCTGCCTTGAACAGGATCCCATAAGCCGGCTATTGCTCTTTGAGCAATAAGCCCGGCTAAAAATGACGAATAATGACCCCTACAGAATAATGACCGGGGGGGGGGGGGGTTGATTTTCATAACTATTGGCACCCAGCTATGTTGACTAGTATATTATCATGCCCCATCTTAATGCTAACTGCAAAGCAGTGATAGGTATATTATGAAGACACATTTAAAGTATCTTTGTAAAAAAAAAAATCCCCTACCTACCTAACCTAATTTTTTTGATGGTGTAACCAGAACCTCACCTTTTTTTTATTTGGCCTAAGTTTCAGCTTTGCTTGCCATGTAATTCCCAAGAAGATTTTTTTAATAGATTTTACTGTTATATTTCAAAGTAAAACTTTGGTTCCCTATTGTGGCCCCACCCTACCCCAGAGGTCATAATTTGAAAAATGTAGAATCTACACTACCCCAGGATGCTTCTGGAGGTTTCACAGCTTTTCTGGCCCAGTGGTTCTTGAGAAGAAGATTAAAGATGCTGAGGGGAAAATATACAATTGAAAGATTAGAGGGAAAATTGTAACATGTATAGACATCAGGTGCTCAGAGCTTCAAAAATTCATTCCCAAGACATGTATTTAAAAGAGACAGGATACTAGTATTTGGAAGATTTTGAA